CCACCGAACTGCCTCTTGGCACAGCATTGGTCCGACACCTTTGTTTTCTTGCCCATCCACAACTCTACCAAAAAAAAAAAAGGTGTGTTTTGTTCTGGTTTTGGTTTTTACATTTAGTAAGAGCAGAGGATGCTCGTGGTCTGGTCTGGTGTGATTGAAGGCGAGCATCCAAACTGCACTTATCTCAGAGCTGCCATACGGGGCAGCCAGGCCTTCAAAAGACCGTTCACTTTAAATCAGGTCCTGCTCAGATGGCCACCCTGCACTGTCATGTGTGGGAGTGTCACCCATCTGCCTCTCTCCAGCTTCTGTAGTGGCTGAGGTGACATTAGCACCCCGCTGTGCAGACCCACCCTGGGCAGCATCCGTCCCAGCACGTGCGTTTAGACTCGATCAAATCACTTTCAACGTGGGTGAAAGGAGCTGATCTCCAGGGTGTCCATCCTGCCCTGTTGAGCAGGTTCGGATGGGCTTTCCCCTGGCATCCTGTCCGTGGGGTCCAGGTCTAGAACATAACCCAGCAGTGAACTCCAGAACCTGCGTTGTGACTGTGTGCTGTTTGTCCCCAGTCAACAGGGCCCCTCAGCTCCTGCTCCACGTGGAACCGATAGTGGATGTAACTGGAATGATTGTGCTTCAACTCAAGCAACTGCTGCAGAAGCCAGGAAGAAGGTATGAAAAATCTGCTCCTCTTGAAAGCTAGACACTTGCTATCTGCCTGACTTCTGGCCCAGGGACGTGTCTTTCCTCTTGCTGGAGAAGCAAGCACGTCAGCAACACAACAGTAAATTCTGTTTGATTTTTTTTTCCTTTGCCACGTCCTTGCATCTCCCAAGATAACCCTTTCCCTCCTCACACTCTGCAGTGCTCACCAATTCCTACCTCGTGAGTGCTGCAGAAATTCAAAGCAGCCTGCCCAGCAGTTCTGTGGGTCCTTTCCTGCTGGTTCTGCAGCTGGGCAGGCGAGTGCAATGGCTTGGAATAACATCTGCATGGTAGGGGCTCTTCTTGCTCATCCAGCTAATGCGCTCTCTGCTCAGCCTCTGAGCTGAGCGAGACCCTTTCTTAGGGAACAGATCAACCTCCTCCTGCAGCTTAATCCTCTGCACCGCCAGAACGTTGCAAGAGGCAACAGCTTGCCTGGAGGACTTTGTGTTAAAGTCATAGCAGGTGCCACATGTCACAGTGCCTCTGCAGCTTGAGATGTGTGCAGCTGGAGCAAAAACTTGCCTTACTGAAGGAAATGAGATTGGTCATCTTTCTCCTCACCCCCTTCTAAATTGGAGTCCTTACATCACGATCCCTGTGATTTCCACGTGCAGTTTTTTGAGAAGGTGCCTGTGGCAGCACCTGAGAAAATAAGCTTGGTTTGAAAACATATGGTACGTGTTTTGGAAGCAGGGAGCCAGAAGGAATCACAGACCAAACAGAGTTCTCATGAGATCTGCAAAAGATAGAGAGAGAGGAAGTTGTCATAGTTGTTTGGACCGTAATGACTGCTTGGGCACTGATGCTACAGCCTCCATCCTTATTCATATTAAACTGATAAGGTTCTTTATCAGTTTTGGTTTAATCAGTTTTATCAGGATTCTTTGAATCATTTTTATCAGGTGGGTTTTTTTTTTGTATTGCTGTGAGCAAGGCAATACAGAGATGAAGGCTCTGTATTTTAACGTAGCCTGGTTTGTTTCTCTCGCTATGCTGGTTTCATTGAAGAAGGGTTCTTGGCTGGTGTGGTGACCGAGCCCTGCTCATGGGGGTATCTCTACAAGGATCTCTAAGCATCTGGTATCAATTCTGAGACCCAAGCTGGCTTGGGCACCTGCCTGTATCCCTCCCACCATGGGAATCTTGTAGAGCCTGACTCGCTCGGCATTTTGCGGGGCTCCTGCCCTGTGAAACGTACCCGGTTCGCTCATGCTTTGGCGCACCAAGTCGAGAGCTTCTTTGGGCAGAGCCTGTGCTTCCTCCTGAAACTTCCTGCATCCTTCTGGAGTCAGTTTCCACAGGCAGGACTTGCGGTTTCGCTCGTCGCACACGAAGCCGGTGGTTTTCTCAAAGCAGCTGCTGAAGCACAGGTTGTGTCGGATCGTGTTTTTCCAGCCCTTTGGGGCCATTTGGAAAAATGGGAAGTGCTGCCTGCGGAGATAAAAGATTTATCTTGAGCTGGAGCAGTTAGAAGCTGAGGTAAATAACAGAGTACATCATCCAAGCGAGGGAAGGAGGAGAGGGTCCTTCCCAACCCCTGTGGTGTAAGGATGGCTGGCGTAGCCGAGCAGTGTGTTTTTTCTAAGGAGGGTAAGACAAAACTAAAATGCTGGCTCTCGAGACCCCTGGGTTCATGTGTTGACAAAGAGGGGAAACACTTTTCTCAGCGGCATCTTGAGCCAAAGGCAGAGCTCAGACCAGGACACGAGCCCTGGCTGCCACATCCCTGCTCCCCAGTAGCAGATCAGAGCCTCCTGTGCCCCTCGTTGTCCCTCTTCCCCTCATTCTGCATGAGGAGCTGGGAGAAGAGCGGGTACCGTGTGAACTGGTAGATCTGCTGTGCGGTCAGACTGCCACTCGTGCTGTTACACAGGGCGAGAGTGATGAGGCTGCTGTAATTCAGGGGGGGACGGGGCCAGCCCCCCTTGATTTTGGTGCTTGTCTGCTTGGGGCACTTGAGCTTCGTGCTTTGAGGTTTGAGGACTGTGGATTTCTGAGGCATTGACGTTGCTCCGAGATCAGGAATTTCTGGCATCTCCTGAGGAACTGGGATGTCTACATGTGAAGCATCTTTGTCCTCAGTAATCTGGGGAGAAAAAGGACATGAATATATCAGCCCTGGGTGGAACGAGGGACAGGGATAAGCTGCTTTGTTCTGGGGAAGGGTGGGTCTGGCAGAGTGCGTGTAGAAAGCTGATGTACTTTAAATTTCAGTCTCTGTCCTCACACTCTGCACTCTCAGCCTGTTCATCAGATGGGCTCTGTCCATTGACTGACCCAGGCTGAAACAGGAGGCAGCTGCCTGCAGAGCTGCTGAGCCAGCTCCTTTTTTCTTGTGGGACTGTTAAGCGTGCACAATGCTTAGGACTGCTCAAGAAGCGCCTTTTTTTGGTACCTTTCCAGCCTTTCTGAAGGATGATAACACGTCCTCCTTCGGGCAGTTCAGATTGGAGTAGTCCCAGGATGTGTTTGGAGAGGAGGTTTCTGTGGCAGCAGCGATTGAGGCCACCAGGCTGCTGTATCCAGCCGGGTCTGTGCCAGGGCTCCTGGGGATGGGGCAGGCCAGGCTGGGGTTCACCCACATCCACAGATGGGGCTGAATGGCAGGTTCTAAGGAGAAGGAGAAACGTCACCCCACCAGTCCTACCTGAGGATCATTTCTAGACCCTGCTGTGCAGAGGCAGCCCGATGAAGCTCTAATGCAATGCAGATCCCAAGGCAAAGGTGTCCCGTGTTGCCTTCTCATCCCTCTAACCCTGCTTTCTTTCCCAGTTCACATACAGCGTGCGTGTCTGCGTGTTCTCACGCCGCTGTGGAAAGCCCAAACAGCAATGCTCAGCTCTGAAATGTTACTTACTCTTTTTCTCTGCAGAGAGACAAGCCAGAAGATCTAAATTGCTCCCTTCAGTCTTCCTTTCCCAACTTTATCTACCCGAAAGGTTGAGGTTGCATTCGGAGGGAAGTGTGTTTGCAGGAACAGGTATGTCATTATATCCTTGTCTTTGGGAAACGGGCTTCAACTTTTTCTAAGTAAGCTTAGAAAAGTTCCAGTCTGGACGCAGATGTTCTGGCTGGTACAAGAAAAGCCCCTTTCCCAGGCCATTCCCAGAAGCACTGCCAGCCTCTCTAGGTAATACCGGGTCCCAGACTTACCCCTGGCATTTGGCAGCGCCCTCGGCAGCCAGCACCAGTGTGCCCAGGGGTCAGCTTGCCACTTTGGCCTGCGATAGTGCGGGGTCTTGTCAGGAGCTGGTGGACATGGGGAGACAGAGACACTGGGGTGAGCTTATGTTTCTTGTGTTAGCCTCATTTTCTGTAAGCTGTGTACTTACTTTATACTTAATTGCAGACACTTCTTATTTGATCTGATCATATTTAAACGTAACAGAAATGGGCTTTTTGTTAATTTCTAGACTGGAACTCACTGTTTACCAATTTTCACCTGAGTTTTGAAGATGAGAGTCTTTTTAAAAGGAAGCCAAGTCAATCAATTCCCCCAAGGCCCTTACCTTGTGGGATATCTTCAGTAGTGATGGTGAGTTTGAGCTCCTCCGCCATATTCCAGTCCACAAGGCCATATTTTAAATGCAGGCTTTCCCAAAATGACTTGTTTTGAAAATTCAAGTACATTTTCTTTGTATGGTGAAGTAACCTCCGGGTGCTGAGCGCAGCGGGATCTGTGAGGATGGCACAAAGAATCCCGTGAGCTTGCAGTGCTCTGTGTGCCGAGAGACTTGACTTCATATCCTTTTTTAAAAAGGATATTGCCCAGGTGAGTGAAAGGCTGGTGTCTGTTTCACCCTTCTAAGTACCTGTTAAGGCCCCTTGCAGTGAGTAAGCGGTCCACATTGGTGGAGCAAGCAAGCTGATTGAGAATAAGGTAGGTGGCACCATGCAGGCTCAGTTTTCTGCCCATTTACTGTGCTAGAGCCTTGATAAACGATCCATTCCTGTGTTCATTAGGCTAACTTTCTGTCTTGCTTTTTTTTTTCTGACAAAATCACAGCATTACCGACGCTCTGCAGTGGATTTGCCCTGTCTGAGAACCCGAATGTCCCTGGAAGCAGGACGGATCTCTGAGGGATGTGCAGAGCGCTCGGGATGCGTTTGCAGGTACCGGGGAGCTCCCTCACCCTGCTTGCCTGGAAGTAGCAGGTTTTAAGACTGGAAACTGCTTTAGATCAGCCCAGGCAAAACACTGAGGGGGGGAAAGAGCCAGGGCGTGCTTTCACAGTGTGCCTCTTAGACACTTTTTGTGCAGCTTGAAGACAGAATCCAAATTCTGCCCCTTCCTGAGTTGCTTTTGTTTCTTCAACCGTATCTTTCACACACGGCCCCTGCCTGATTTGTCCTAGATATTACGAAGGAAGCAAAGTGGTTTCTGCTATTAAAGGGTGGCTGTAATCCATCCCCATCCTATTCGCCCACTCACCATCACTCTTCTGCTCGGGGGTCAGGGGAGATAGGTGGCACGGGTGGAAACAGAGCAGCTAGAAATGAAAATCCAAGCCTTGGCTTAGTACCAGCAGGCAATTAGATTTCAGACTCTCTGCATATGTTGACCATTTTGTAGGAGGACACAGGTTATGCTCGTATCAGAGGCGTCCTTCAGGGACTTGCTGTCAGTCTGTACCAGGGAGACAGACAGAAAGAGGCTGGTTTTAGCAATTGCTGGAAAAGATTGCGCCGTAACATTATTGTTATGATGTTGGGAGAATCTTGGCTTAAAGGTGAATTCTGTGACCAAAGGTTTGGCTTTGAGTTGTTTGGGTTTTTTCTGTGTGATGAAAGAAAAGGGTAAGGTGCTTTTCCCCGCTGCAGGCTAGCTCTGCAGTGCTTTGGGCCAAGCCTTCCTGCCCTGTTTGCTGTCGTTATTCTCACCCTTTGTGTATTTGCATCTTTTGAGATGGGCTGTTGAAAAATAAGTCAAGCACCGAGCCGAGCTTTTCTTGAAAAGGTACCCTTCAAAGGGCAGAGGAGGATCTGGCATGCTCAGTTTTGCCTCTTGAATAAAAGTAGGCATGACAGTTTGTACTGTATTAAGGTTTGCTTAGTTCTTTTCAGGCATTCCACAAATATCAAGCCGGTATGGCTTTGCTTTTGCCAGATGCAGAAGGCTACAGTCACATAGCTTTTTCCACCCTTGTGTGACAAAGTTCAGTTGTCAGCGGAGATGAGGACGTGCTCCCTGTCAGATTCCTCGGGTGTGAGCAGCACCTGCTCGCTTGGCTGCTTTCCTCAAAAAAGTCTGAGCGCGCCCCAGTCAAAAGCCATTCCCCTTCCTGAAACTGGAAACTGGTGTTTGACTTGGGATGTGTCACAAACAATCCAGCTACTACAGTTTAATAATTGACCACCTATCACTTGGCCTGTTGCACCACAAAGTCGCTTTCCCCTTCCTATCTGGAGTGAAACTCTCGCACAGTGGCGTATGCGTCAGCTGAGGCATAGTAGTAATTCATTAAGCCTGTGATTATCCTACGTGCATCCTCAAGTGATGCCTCACCTACCCGCATAACCTTTGGTACCTCACCAGTAAACTCGCACAAGAGTGCTAGACTGGATCCAGTTATGTTAATGATCTTAGAACAGCGTAAGTAAGTCTTTTTTTTGGGGGGAAAGAAGTCCTGCCATAGCCAGACCTTGCATGCGGATGAAGTCTCTTGGCCTGCTTGCTCTTCAGCCAGGCGTGGCTTTTGGAAAGCAAGCGGGGCAACACACGTGGCACCGACGTGAATAAAAGACAGAAAGAAGAATATCTGGGGATGGACTTGTCCGTGGGAAGGACGCTGTTTGCTGTGCAGCTTTCCAGGAGGATACCCGGAGTGTGTGGCTCGGCCACAAGAGGCCGTGGGAGCTGGTGTTTTGCAGGGAGCGATTGAATTCACCTGTAGCTGGTTCAGAGCTAGTGCCCCCGGAGTTAGGTGGGGGCTGTCCAGCAAAAGCCACCACAGAGCATGAAGGAGATGAGAAACAGCTGCAGACCTTCCAGGGCTGCCAGCAGCAGCTGGCTGCAGCTGATTAGAGATTCCTTTTTCCCATCTTCCCCCAGGTTTTCCTGTCCTCAGAGAAGGCTGTACTGGTCTGTGGAACTGGTGAGTAGCACAAGGGAAGGGGAGGGATAGGATATAACGTAGGGTAACATAATATAACAGAGTGCTCCACCCAGAAAAGCCCTGAACAGTTGTACTTAGACCCTCCCTCAAAAAAAGATGTGAAAAGAGCTTGCTAATCTTTCCTGCCTCTGCTGCAGGGATGGAAAGCATTCCCTCATGTGATAATGTTTACTTCTAGCTGGTCGAGATTTGAGGTGCTGCTGTAATACAGACAGGTAAAGCAGGGAAGTGAGCCCTGTGGTCTGCCCAGTCTGTGCAATGAAGCTAGCAAACTGGGGGAAGAAGTGTTGGGTTCCAGCTTAAAGCCAAAGAATGTTTTAAATACCTGTGATTGCAACAGCAGACCTTTCCCTTAAGTCTAGGAAAAGGCTAAAAGGCCTTAATTTTGCCTTTGAGTGTTCAGTTGCTGAATCCCAATTGCATTGGTTTGTATACTGTGTATTCTGTGTTAAGGCATCGTAACCCCTGAGCTCTGTCCTGCTCCCCATGCTTTTCCAGGGGAGAGGCATCTTGATCAGGCTGATAGAGCCAATTTGTGGCAAATTAGGTCTGAGGCTGCTGATTCCTTATGCCCCATGGCTTAAGCAGAAGCTCACGCTTGTATCCTAAAGCCACCTCGCTTCTGGTTCTCCTCTAGCTTCGGGAGGTGAAACAGAAGAAGTTAGAAGAGAACCTGCTGACACGTGTGGAAGGTCAAAGCAGCCAGCATCTCTACCTGCGTCATGAATGGAGCTGAACATGTAGAGAGGCGACACGCTGGAGGTGTCTTTGCTCAGGTCATCTGGATTCTTCCGAGCCAGCTCTTTTTCAGGTGAGTGTTACCTGCACGGAAGCCAATTGATGGGATAGTTTTACTGAAAACCAGTCTCACCTACTCCCACACACCTCATAACCATGAGAACTTTGTAAAGATGCGGGTTGGGGCTGGGGGCAAGCGCAGCTCTCTTGTCTTGCTGATTTCCATCTCCTGGTGTTTTAGATTAAGACTTGTTTGCAGATCAAGAGAAAAGACATTTTGGATTGGAGCGTGACTGCAAGCGTGCTCGATTGCTTCTCAGGTTGTCTGACTTTTGCACACACGTTCCTGCGTGTTCATGTGAGGTGCAGGTAGATGTCTTTGGCCAGTCTTATGGCTTCATGTGTGTGTGAGGTCTTCTTGGCAAGCCGGAGAAACTAGATTTGCTTCTGTTTCTGGAGGATGTTGGATCTGAAGCTCACTCTCTCACCTAAAGATGGGGAGCTCTATAACTTGACTTCCATCTCAGAGTTGTTATTCAGGTCTGGCTCGCATGGCTCTTGTATTCCACAGCCCCTGAAAGCCTTGAATTTGTGCAGAGTGACATCTGCTCACTCGTGGTGATAGGGGTGTATCATCTCTTGTCTTGGCTTTGTGCTGCTGATGGTGTTTGTGTAGAAGCAAGTTCAGTGGGCTTGAGGGGGACTCTGGGCTTGTGAAAACTGGTCATACCAATCAACTGTGCTTATTTTATATATATATATATATATATTTCTGTGGTAGAACAGAGATTAGTTTCCAGTTAAGTGATTGGTACTTTTCCCCACCTCCCTCGTACGGGGTATACGGCAGGTGCCTGGCTCCTCCTCGCACAGTGCCACCCCCTCTGTGTTGGCATTGCTTCGATTCTCCGCGCTGCAGCGAGTGGCTGATGCTGTGACTATAATGGTGAAAGAGCTGCCAGGATTTGTGTGGGCTGGGGTTAAAACCAGCCCTTTCTGTTAAAGAAAGGCGGTGGGGACAGTACCAGGCAGGCAGGGGGAGAGGGAACGCAAGGCAGAGGGGAGGCTGTGCGCTGGTGGGGGGCGGTCGCTCCATTGGCACCAGACCTGGGGCTGTGTTGGGGTGCCCGGGTAATCCTGCCAGTGTGGGGGCCCGGGTAACCCTGCCAGTGCCCAGCTACGTCTCTGTCAGTACTGTAGGTAGGTGCTGCTGCTGTCGTAGCTGTTTGTAGCCTCCTCAGGACGCGAGGACACAACAGATGCACTTGACGAGTATCGCAGCCTTTTTCATTAGATGTATTCTGTTCTCTCTGAACAGAGATGCCATTTTTCTGTTGGAGGAAAGGCGGCCTCTTACCGCCCACATCCTCAAATTCTGTGAAGTTGCAGTGAAAGAGCTGAACTCAGGTCTCTGCCCCTCCTCCCTGATTTTTAAAACCACTTCAAAGGTGAGCTGGCGGACGATTGAAGCGACCGGTTCTGCCGGGCTCGCCACCGCTCACCTTTCGTGCTGCTCCCCCACGGAACAAAGCGCGGCGCTTCCCTTTGATTTCCCCCTTTGAAAGCCATAGGGGACAGAGTCTGAAACGCTCCACAACTTTTTTTGGTGACTCTGCTCCAGTATCTTCCTGAAGCGCTGGGTGGATCAGGACAGGGCTCCAGGGAGGAGACCTCGCTCACGGCTAAATTAGCCGTTGGCACAGGCTGGCTGATGGGATGCTTCATCCCTCCTGGATGTTGCAGCCGGCATCCCCCGGGTTTGTCGGGAGGGCAAAG